GGTTTTCCCCTTCGGCTGGCCTGGATGGTGATCGAATACCATCGCCAGCCGAGGGTACTGAAGGCTTTCAATTTCTTTTCAGAGACCTCTGTATCATGGCAGGGAATGCTTGCAGGCTGTGCCCATTCTACCTCCCTCCTCACGCTCCTCACCCTGCGCTCTGTGCGGCGAGTCCGAGCGAGTGGCGTCGTGCCCCGCGCATTGGTCGATGACCTCACGACTCAGTGGGTGGGGGCGGGGGCGGGTGGGATCTCTAAACTGTTTACTGCGTTGGCCAACTTTAAAGCTGATGTTAAACCTCTGGGGATCGTTCTCCAGGACTCGGCCTCGGGGAAGTCTGGCTACGTGGTGGCCAATCGTAAGGTCCTGCGGGCCTCGAAACCCTGGGCTCGAGCGGTTCGGCTGGAAGCCAAGCGTAACATGCGTAACCTTGGTCACGAGCTCTCTGGGCGTGAGCGCAGGCGGCCGCTCACCCGACAGAGAATCGCTAAGCTTGGTTGTCGCATGAAGCGTGTTTATCCTCTACAGAAGGTGACAAGGGCTCGTGTGTCCGTCCTGTGGCGCACTGGCCTGCTTCCAGGTGCTAGTCATTGCTGTGCAGTTTCTGGGACCACGGACGCCGAACTTCGGAAGTTGAGAGCTGCTGCGGGGGCTTTGGTGGGCGCCAAGGGTCGTGGGGGGTCCCTGACGGTCTACTTGGCGTCTCAGGCGGATCCGTGGTGTGACCCGATTTTTGAAGCCACGATCGCCCCAGTCAAACACTACGCCCAGGTTGTTTGGATGCAAACTGTGTCCCTGGGTACGCTCGAGAGGGCCTGGAGGGCCTTGGCCGAAAAGCGGGGGCTGAAACTCTCCTGGCTCCATGCCTCGGGCCCGCTTTCGGCGGTGGCGCTGTCTCTCCTTCGTGTTGACTGGTGCATGGAGTCTTCTGTTCTGATCCGTTCCGATCAAGGAATGGTGTACTCTTTGCTACAGATTGATCCGCAGCATTTAATCAAGCTGCTTCGTGCTGGCATCCAGCGCTGGCAGATGCGTCGCATCCAGGCTCATTTTCCTGGTTCCCCCGCGGACGCCGAGTTGTGGCCCCGTGGGATCCGCGCCTACGCTGGGTCCAAGTGGGCCGCGCTCAAAAACCCCAGGTCGGCTGGAATCCTTCGGTCTCTCTGGTCTGACTCCTGGTGGCCCCAGGCCAAGTTGCATGATAAAGGGCTCGCCCCCGATCCTAAGTGTATGGGGCTGCGGAGCGGGCAGAGAGACGTGTGGTCAACTGTTGCTCGAGTGCCCTGTGCTGCGTGAGCGGCTGTTGGATTTTGAAGATGAAGTTCCTATTTCTGAGTCCCTGGCCAAAACTCGTGATCGGTTTCTGGACCAGGGGCCTGTTGGGCGCCCAGGGGCCGCTCTGGACCCTGAGAGTTTTGAGTTGTCGGTTGGGCTCCCGTTGCTCCCGATGAGACCTCCTGACCCTCCGTGTGACCCGCCGATTTTTTGGTGGGGGGATTGGGAATCTGATCCCTCGCAGTGGTCAAATGCTGCATTCACGGACGGGTCGGGTATGTGGTCGTCTCAACCAGAGATTAGGGCGTGTGGCTGGGGCGTCGTCCAGCTGTGCGCGTCGGGCACGCCACTAAGAGCGTGCTATGGCAGGCTTGGAGGCGCCAGTCAGACGGCTGGCGAGGCCGAGCGAGTCGCCTATTTGCGGGCGGTGGAAAAATCCCGTCGCTGCAGGTCATAGTCACTGATCTTTTGGGCCTGGCCAATGAAACTCAGGAGTGGAGTGCGGAGTCTGAAGGTCCAGGGGCTGAGCATGCCGCGGTGTGGCGGCAGATTCGTGCGGCGGTCGTGCGTCGCGGAGGGGTCCCGCCCACCACCCATTGGTGTCCTGCCCATAGGGACCTGTCGGATGCGGCCCTGGCGACCCCTGGATCTGGCCCGCCGTTTTTGTACGTCCTGGGAAATGCCTGGGCTGATTTCTTTGCTAAGGCTGGTGCTGCCAGCCAGATGGTTGGACAGGGCACGGCTGACCTGTTTCGGATCGCGCTCAAGGAGTGTCAGGAGTTCGCCAAGTATCTGGCTTGGGCTGGGGGTCGGGCCATTGATCTGGGGCTTGGGGCGTCGTCGTTGTCGGAGGGAGCTGCTCGTTCTCGTCCGAGGCCTGGCCCCCGCCCAACCCCCGTTGAAATTTTAGAGCCTGGTGAGCCCCTCGCGTGCCACAGCATGTATAGGAGCGACGCCGCCCAGGAATGGAGATGCAGGCGGTGTGGAGTCGCCACCAGGACTACAGCTGGTCTCCGCGCCCTCAGGTCCTGCTCGGCGCGCTGCACGCCGACCGAGGTGCAGCGCTGGCAGGCCGCCCGTGCTTTCTCTCGCTGCTCCGATTGGAGGCCGACCTCCGATGCGGTCCATGTCGCCCTGGAGGCGGCGGCAAGGGTCCTTGAGACGGGCCCCACCTGGGTGCCGGGCTCTGGGGAGGGCTCTGGGGTTCGGCGTTTTGCCGACTTGGCCCTGTTCCGCGACCTCGGCCATCGGATGGCTGAGGCGGGTGCGTACGTCTTCTGTGAGCGGTGTGCGTGCTTTGCTGGGGAGTCTGGGCGGGTGCTTGGTCTCAAAGCCCCTTGTCAGGGACCTTCGGAGGTCCCCAAGACTCTCAGCGCTCAGAAGACCCGCCTCCAGAGGTTGAGGAGTGGGCTGCCGCCTAGATAGCGGCTGAGGGTCCTGGGTCCTGGCTGATACTGATCTGGGGCCCTCGAGTTTTTGTTTAGTTTCTCTGTGTAGAGTGGGTTCGGGCGACTTGGACTCACCCTCTACTGGCGTCTCCTCCTCCCTCTCCTGCCCATGGTAGTGGTGGTGGAAAACTGGCCCGTCGTCGTTCCACCTTCGACGCTCGGGACTGCCCGCTCGCTCGACGACGGCCGCTCTCGGGCCCCTGGCGGCGCTCCGCCCAACGAAGCGGGCAGCCGGGGACCGGCCGCTCCCTGGCCGCCGGGGCCGCCGCCAGCGCGTCGGCCACGACGCCTTCTCTGCCACCGCGAGGGGGCCCAGCGGCAGGGTCAGGAAGCGACGGACGACCACGACGAGGGCAACAGGGAGGGTGGCGAGGGATCGACCGACGACGACGGCGAGGGCGACAGGGACGGGGGAGGGACAGAAAGGGAAGGCGCGCCTGTCGATGGCGGGACACACAAGAAGGTGGCGCAACGGGGGGGGATCCTTCCAAGAAGGGGGGGGGCAGCCTTCTGAGAGGGCAGGGGGGCGTCTGAAAAGCCCGCCCCGGCTTCTGAGAACCCTTTCTGGAGAACCCGCACAAGACGTGCGCCCAGCCACGCGCATGGACACGGCCCCCCAATCCTCGAGACCAGCCTCGCGATACGAACGGTCGCGCAAGGCCCACTCTCGGAACCGACGTGTACCTCCTTCTTTCGGAGGCCTGGAAATAGGCACCGACACCAACACAGGGGGTTGCCTCCACAGGGGGAAGAAGATCTTAGATTTCGGTGTGGCTGGAAATATTTCGGTCACCTTGGAAGCTAGAATAGTTCGGTCACCTTGGAGATCGGGATCTTTGCTGGGGGCACACCACCGATACTGGTGTTGGTGTTAACTTCTAGGCCTGCGACTCCTTCGCTCCTGACAGGAGTGGCGCGGGGCTGCCCCGAAGCGCGCGGGCCCCTGCGGTGGCTGGGTCCTGGCGGAAACGCGTCCTGGCCCCTAGGAGGCCGGGGGGAGGGCTGCCGCCCCGATGCCGAGAACAGCGCCAGGCTGAGGAGCCCGCTCCCTCGGGGCCACTCTTGGGCGCACCGTGCTATGCTGTGCGGGGGGAGGATGAGGAGGAGGAGGAGGAGGTGGAGGAGGAGGAGGAGGTGGAGGAGGAGGAGGAGGAGGAGGATATATGAGATTCCTCCTCCTCCTCCTCCTCCTCCCTCCTCCTCCCGACACCCGGCTCTGCGAGCAGAGGGGGGTTCGACTCAACGGAGAGGGGTGGGGGGTAGGACGTCAGATGCGGCGCGAGCGCAGCTAGCCTGCCCTCAGGACTCAGGACCCCTCTCCCTCATGCTGAGGGAAGGGGGGGGGAGCGGATATTAGGGGAAACGAACAAGTACATAAGCATACACTTTCGGAGCCTGCGCGGCTTTGTTGGATCGGCGCCTGACGTTAACGCAGGTGGGCGGTAAAGGGACATGGCCCCTCTAGGGCCACTCCCCTGCAGCCATCGATCCCCCCTCGCTCTCGCACTGACTGCCATCCCCTAACTACCGAGCGCCGACGGAGGGGAGGGGCCAGCGCCGATCTAGGAGACACGCGCGGCCCTCCGAAGCTTGTGCATCGGGCGGAGGGCCGCGGCCACAATGCTCCTCCTCCTCCTCCTCCTCCTCCTCCTCCTCCTCCTCCTCCTCCCACTCCTCCTCCCACTCCTCCTCCCACTCCTCCTCCAGACCCTGGTCGGACGGAAAAGGGGGCGGGAGGCCTCAGGGCTTAGCGGACCAGCTCACGCAGCTGGTCGTCCTGGCGCGAAGCGCCAGTGCATCGAGGAAGGGAGCCCGGCGACCGAAACCAGCTGCACACGCAGCAGACTTCGCACGCCCCCCCTACAGTCAGGGGGACGTAAGACCTGGGTACAGGGGACTCGGAAATCCCCGACAAGGTCGTCAAAAAAATGACGAGGCCGAGCCTGCATTTTGACGAGACCTCCCGCTGCAGATATCCCACGAAACTCCTCCTCGTCAAAATCCGAGGCGCGGTCGTCAAAAACGATGGCGAACCCGAGTCCTGGCAGACCCGGGTCTTACGCTCCCCCGATACAGATCTCCAGCCTGCGACCTCGCCGTCGTCTCCTGACTTTTCGTTCCCTTCACTTCTCCGTCGCCGCGCTGGCTGCCGGGAGCCGGCGGCGCCGGGGTGTGGGGCCCGCTGCCCCCCGAGGGCCCCGCCCACTCTCTGTTCCCCTCCCTTTCCGTCTGGCATCCTTCACGCCAGTGGCGGGAGAGCAAAGAAGGCCGCGGCTCCAGTCGCCACCGTGGTCGAACATCTGCTTCAGGAAGCGCACAATCTGCGATGGCCCCGGGACCGCCGCCGCGGGTCGGCTCTCGCCGCAGTCGTCGTCCGCACCGCCGCCGCGGACACCGCCGTCGCCGTCGGTCGCCAGTCGTCGGTCGTCGGTCGTCGGTCATTGGTCGTCGGTCGTCGGTCGTCAGTCGTTGGTCCTCGGACGTCGGGGTCGTCGTCGTCGTCGTCGTGGTCGACGACGCCGCGGTCGCTGTCCTCTTTTTCCTGCTCCACCTCTCGATTATCATCCTTACTCCGTCCTCCCTCCTCCATCCTCTTTCCTCCTGGTGTTCCTCCTCCCCCTCCTCCTCCTCCTCCTCCTCCTCCTCCTCCCCCTCCTCCTCTCGATTTCTCCTTCTCGCCTCGCCTGTCTTCTCTGGGAAAAGATCTGCGCCTTTTTGAAGCTTGCAGGGTGGAACATCCAACGGCCACATCCGCCTCCTGGTCCGAACCAGAACGGGTGGAACTGTCTCGGAGAGAGAACGTGGACCTCAAATCGGCGCTTGCATCGCCGACACATCGGCGATAGGCCCCCGACCGCGATACCGCACCTTCTTGAGAAGTGGCGGGGGCACCAAGCGCCGATCGGTAATCAGTGGGAGATCGGGGGTCGATCCCCTCCCATGGGCCAGATCACTCCCTTTCACCACTCCTGGCCCACCTGCTCCCAAGGAGCTGTTCCTGCCTTTCGAAAGCCCCGATGACCTGGGGGGGGCGGGTTTCCCGCGGGGGTGCGGCGCCGCCAGGGCGCACTACAGTACAGATCAGCCCACAGCGAGACGAGTCCAATCCAGCAGCGCCTGCACGGGATTCGTGGCCTCGTGTCCGCTGCCTGATCTGGTGATCTGGTGGTTCCACGCCTTCCCCCTGCTCGTCGAAGACCCCGGCGTCTGGGGAGGGAGGTCCAAAGAGAAACAAGGAGGGCGGGATGGAAGGGAGGAGGCCTGGCCACGGTGACGCGGCCGCCATGGGACGACCTCTTACCGCCGCGCGGTCCACGCGCGCGGGCGGCGCCCCGCGGGGCGCGGCTGGCGGGGCTCGGCGGCCGTCGCGACACGACGGGGGAGGCCCCGATGCACCAGCGCCGCGGTGCCAGCCCATGGCCGCCGAGCGGGCGGCGGCAGCGGCCTCCGCGCTACCGACCGCCGCGCCAGCGCTTGCGCACGACCGCCTTCCCGCGGGCGGCCGCGGCCGGCGGCCCGCGAGCGGCCGCGGCGGGGGCCCCGCTGCTCTGGGCCCGAGCAACTCGCGGAGGGGGGGGCGCCGCCGCCTTCGCCCGTGCCTCGCCCCCACTGAGGGCCCGCTTTGGCGTGCTCCCCACGGCCCTTCCGCAGCGGGCGGCGGCGCCACCCGCTGCTCGGCCCTCCCCCATCGGGGCGGCCCTGCCTCGCCCGAGCCCGCCATCGCCGCAGGCCGCGCGTCGCGTCAAAGCGCCATCGGATAACTGTGCGCTAACCTTCGTTCGCCGCGGCGGCCTAGAGGGCCCCCGCATGGCCGGCCTCGGCGGCGGCGCAAAGCGGGGGGGCGCGACGGGGCGAGGCGCGGCAATCCGCGTGGCCGACGCCCCGCGCTGGTGCCGCTGGTCACGACGCGGCCTCGCCGCACGCCTCGGGCGGGCTGAGACACCACCGCGTCCGCCTCGAGCCGCCTCGCAGTCGTCTGGCCGCCGTCGGCCTCGGGGCCGGCTGCAGCCGCCGCCGCCGCCCGCGGGGTCGCGGCCGCGCCGCGCGCCGCTTGGCGGCGGGGAAGGCGAGCGCGCGCGGCGAGCGTTCGGAGGGGAAGCCCATCGAGATCGCACATCTTGAACCTCTCCTGCAGGGGCCAGGGGGCCAGCGCAGCCGACGTGTGGGCTGAAGTGGGCGCCCTGGGGCAGGACGAGAAACTCTGCCTCGGTCGACCGGCTGGCTGCAGCACGCCTCGGTCGACCGACTGGCCGGCCGCGACCGCCGCCGACTGCGCGGGGCCCGCGGCGCGCGAGGGGGGGGGGCTCGCCGGCGCCTGATGCACGTCACTTCGCGCCCCAATGTCATGTTTTCAATGTTTCTGGGGGCGCCGTCCACTGGCGCGGAGCTGGGGGGCTCGACCGCCCCGAAGCCGGCGCGCAAGACGTTCGACAACGCGTCCGCGCAGGCGGCTGCCCGAGAGGCGGGGACAGGGCCACCTGCCGCTGGAGCCAGTGTCTCCTGCGACGCCACTTGCCTCGCTGCGTCTGACCACGGCGTCATTGCCGGCGCCGGGTCGGCCTTGCCTGCTTCTCGCGCCCCGTCCATGGGCAATCCCCCTGGCCATGTCGGACAGGGTAGACGGCGCCCGTGGCCGCGGGCCCGCTGGGTGGGCAGCTGCCGCAGGGCTCGCCCACGAGCGGGCTAGAAACGAAAACGCGAAGACCGCATTGCCAAGTCGATGTCGCGCTGGAACATCACCCGGTGCACGCGCAGATGGGGCCGCCGCCGGCCTGGACCTGCGAGCCCAAGGGCCCGCCGCGGACACTGGGCTCGGCGGGCGCGGAGCACGGGCCACAACACTCGCTGAGGAGCCGATCCGCCATGCTTTCGTCGGAGCTCGAGCGCCCGCACCCCTAGGAGCTGCGCCCGGCCGGAGACAGGAAGGGAACGCGGCGACCATGCTGATGGCAAGGGCTGCCTGCCGAGCGCGGGTTGCTCGCCGGCGCCAGCGCGCCCCCGCCTCCGCAGCGCCCAGTGTCGCGCGATGCAGCCGCCGCCGCACCTGAGTTGCCATAACCTCGGCTACGGGCGCCAGCGGGGGCCCTTCGCCGCCTGCGCCGCGGAGTCGGCAAACGCGTCGGCCACGGCAAGACCGCTCCAGGGGGCGCGCCGCCCCGCTGCCTCCTGGGCGGCAAGGCAGGGCGGCGCGCGGTCCATGTCGACCGCGCCGCCAGGCCGCGCGCGCGCGAGCTGGCCGAGGCGGCGCCACTAATCGCAATCGGGCCCAGTTGGGGCCTGGTCGCGCTGACGCTGGCGACCTTCGCACACTGCCACGCTGTCAATGAGAAGAAAACGGGCCCCCGTAGACGCCTCCACGCGCGACTTGCGCCCCGAGTTCACCGCGACGCAATGCGCGGCGGGGGCGCGCGAAAAGGCCGAACGCCCCGAGGTACATGGAGTTGCCGTTCTAAGCCGGGCAGCACGCGACGAGGCCGACTCGACGGAGACCAGGAGGCGGCGATCGGGGGCCCCCGCGGGCATCTCCGAACAACGCCAGCATAGCTGCCCCGCCCCGTGCTCGAAAAGTGGTCGCCATTGCTATGGCCGACGCGCGCCCAGTCCTCGGCGTCGTCTGATTCGGGGGTGGTGGCCCAGGGCGACGGGATCAACCCACAAAACTAAACGAGCTCGAAAGCCTTGATTTCGGCGAGAGCCCGCGGGCTGAGGCAGTCGCTCCTCCTTGTGAACGGGCTTGTCCACGTTGCAGGTGCACTCCCCGATGCGATGGAAACTGTCTCCTTCCCGCGTACGCGCCGGGCGAAATCTGCCCGACAGTCAACGCCGCCGCGCGCGTCGACGCTGGGCTGCCTGGGCAACGATCCGCCGATACCCGGTGGAATCATGAGGGGGGCGAGGTCGGCGCCTCCTTGAAGGCCATTGCCGCAACAGTACCCAGCTGCCTTCAGCCAGCATCCCCGCGCAACGCCTGGGGCCAACGAATCAATGAAGAGCTGCGCAGATCCATGGGCGCGGTCGGCGGCGCGCGGGGGGGCGCGCCGCCCCCGCTGCGCATCGGGGAAGCTCTGCGCCCACGCAGCGGGCCCGACTGGCAACTTGCTGGTCTGGAGGAGGAAAACCTGGGTGGCGAAGATGGGGCCGCGCGCCGACCTGCTCCGAGCGCGCGCGCAAGAAGCTCGCGGAACCTCGAATGGGTACTAGCGCCAGCGACCACCGCACTCATCCCCATCTGCTCGCGGATCAACTTCCCGGCGGGATCCCGATCTCCAGGGCGCGGCGGGGGGGGCGCGGCGAGGCGCTTCCCAGAACTTTCAACTGATGCAAATGCTCCCAACCGCTGACGCAACTGCTGCGGCGACTGGGCGAAATCGCCGTAGATCTGGCGCCCCGCACGTGGCCGAAGCCTGCGGGGAAGGGGGGGGGGGGGGGGGGGCGGCCCCCGCGAACCTCAGACGCGCCCCGCGCCGCTTGTTGGCCTCGGCAACGCTGGCGATCCGTCCGCGGACTGTCGCGTTCATGACCGCCCGCCCGAGCGGAGCGTCGCGGCCTCCGCGGCGCCCGGCGCCCGTGTCGGCGCCGAGGCAAGGGGCCAACCTGGTCGCCGTGACCTCGTGCTCTGCGCGGCGCGCGGCTCGGGCCGCGCGCGGGGGGGGTCGGCCAGGCCGGGGGGGGGGGGGGGCGACACCGTCTGCCACCGTTGTCAACTCTCACCGTTGGAGGAGCCAATCTCGCCCCAGGGTCGAGCGATTCGAGGGCCCGCGACTGACGCCGCCCCCCGGCCTTGATGTCTCGGGGGCGCACCGCGATCCCATCGCTCAAGGGGGCGGGGCGGAGACGGGAACCCGCGTCGAGGCTCGAAGAATGCGGCGCTGGCTTCGCCTGTGGCGACACGCGTCTGCACGTGCCGAAACGGACTCTCGGCTGCCCGGCCGCGCGAGCGCCGCGCCGCCAGACCGGCAGCCGCGGCCGGCGCCTCGAGATGGCCGGCGACGCCGCTGCGAAGCGGCCCGGCTGACTGCGGCACGAGAGGGTCGGCCCGGGACTGCGAGCTGCTCCGCGGCCTCGCGGAGAAGGCCCTCGCCCGCCACGGCAACGCGCCTCGCCGCGAAGGGAGGCGCAAACGAGCTCCAGCACCGGGCGCCGTCGGCGACGCATCTCCTCGCAGGCCCGCCGGGGCTGCCGACGGCTCGAATCCTGGCCAGCCTGCTGACGACAGCGCGGATCTCTTTCGCGCCAGCCGACGGCGGCGCCGCGGGGAGCGCATCCTTGGGCAAGGACCAACGGCGCGCCTCGCCAGCCGTGGCCCCGCGAAGCAACGGCC